TTCCCCCTCTGACCATTGTCAATTCGACCAGATGTGGTAACGTTATACTATACCTGAAACTGTTGACAACAATCAGATGTAATACAGCATCCAGCATATTCCAGGTAATCAACAAGATATTATTTGGAAAAAAACAAAATCAGAGGATATTAGCAAGTCACATTTTACGAGAATTATAAAGTGATAAAAGAAGAAAACAAGTGTAATTCAAGCTAGTTCAAATAATTTTTTTTAAAAATCCTTTTAAATTCCAGGCAAGTTATCAATTCCATCTGAAGTGATTATAACAAGGACCACATAGAATATAATTTCCCTGATTGGGTCTGTTAATTTGGCTAAATTAGGGAGCCCTGGCTGACAGAATATAAACGGGAGTGTCAGAGGTTCTGTTCAATTTGACAGCTGGCTTAGAGGAAGTTGGATCAATGTAGAGGACTATCCATGTGTAAATAAAGGGTGATTTGGTGATGGCCTCTGTGGAGTTGTTTCACTGGCAATGAGAGTGGGTTTTAGGGTATCATCAGCCTGTGCAATTTTTCAGTAGACAATGAAGAACGTTTTGCAAGGTCTACGCCAGATTGCCATTTATCTAGATGACCTGCTAATGACTGGGCCAATAAAGAGCACTTAGAGAACTTTGACATTGTCCTTTGGACATTTCTCGCAGGCGGGCATACCCCTTAGAAGGGAAAAATGTGTGTTTCAGGCACCGTCAAGTGACCTACTTGGGCTACAGGGTTGACTAAACTGGGTTACACCCATTGGAAGATAAAGTGAGGGCAATCAAAGGTACCCCGGCTCCCACATCTGTACCAGAGCTTAGGTCTTTGCTTGGACTAATGAACTATTACGGAAAGTTCATACATAAACTGGTCTCTATCCTGCCACATTTGCATCCATTCTTATAAAAATGTCAGCCTTGGAAATGGTCACAGAGCCCAAGCCATAGTTTTCAAGGAACTGAAGCACCAGCCATCATCCTCTAAGATGTTGGCACACTATGGTCCCAAGCAAGATCTGATATTAACATACAATGCCCCCCCTTATGGCATCGTAATAGTATTAGCTCATAGGTGGCCCAATGGAGAGGAATGCCCAATCGTGTAAGCATCTAGCACTTTAGCTAATGCAGATAGGGAAAGAAGGTTTGGTGGTTATTTTAGAGTCAGGAAGTTCCACCAATACCTTTATGGATGTAAATTTGTAATAATAGTGGACCATAATCCCCTGTTAGGTCTACTTAAAGAGAACAAGGCAGTACCATAGCTTCAGGCTGAATTCAGCAGTGGGTTCTAATACTAAGTGTGTATAATTAGGCCAAGTAGCAAATGCAGATGCATTGAGCCACCACTGGAAGAGTCTGTAGTAGCTTTAAATTTTCTACATGCACTTCCAGACACAGCTGACAATATCAAATTTTAGATGCAGAAAGATCCAGTGCTGGCAAAACTGAAATAGCTGGTAGTGATGGGAGAAGCCAAAGGGCTGTCACAAAAAGAACTGAAACTTTTTTGGACCTGGAGAGACCAGATCACAGTAGAGGATAGCACATTATTATGAGGAGCAAGAGTAATTGTCCCAACAAAGGTCACTGCCAGACACTGGCTGAACTCACAAGGGTCATCCAGGGGTTTCCAAAATGAAAATGTTGGCAAGACATTATGTCTGGTGGCCAGGATTGCATGCAGACATAGTTGTGTTGGTGGGGCAGCGCCCAGAATGCCAACAAGGACAAAATTACCACCAGCAGCTCCCCCACATTCGTGGGAATGTCCAGTAAACCCTGGATTTAGTCACATGTCAAATATGCAGGTCCTTTCATGGGCTCAATGTTCTTAGTGATTGTGGATGCACACACAAAGTGGCTGGGCATTCATAGAGTTCATTCATCAAACACGGGGATGACAATTGGAAAAACTGCATGCACCTTTCACAAGACATGGACTCCCGGAAGTGTTGGTCACAGATAACTGGCCATCATTTACCAGCAGGGTAGTTTGAGTATTTCCTAAGCTAAATGGTATTTGTCGTGTAAGGGCAGCTCCATACAATCCATCATCTAGAAAGAGCAGTCCAAACTTTGAAAGCAGGCTTAAAGGAAAAGCATGCAGCTTTACTAGATACCAAACTGTCCGAGTTCCTATTTGATTATAGGACCACTCCTCATGCAATTACAGGGATAGTTCCAGCAGAGTTGCTAATGGAGAGAAGACTCTGCAACAGGTTAAATCGGATCTTCCTGGACTGGGGAGGGACGGTTAAACAGCATCAGGAATGCCAATGCCAGACACAAGACTCCACTAAGCGAGAGAGACAGTTTACTTCAGGGAATGAGGTTTGGTGTAGGAACCATGGGAATGGCCCTGCATAGGGAAGAGGCATAGTCGATGTGAGGTCAGGTCCAGTGACATATAAACTTCATCTAGATGCAATGGTCCTAAACAAGCAGGTAGATCATATGAAAGCTGCAAACTTGCAAATGGTGTGGGAGCAAATGGTGCCCAGCTCCTTGACTGCCTTTCCATTCTGGAACCCGTGGGTTCTCCCTCTCTGTCAAACTTTAAAGATATCTCAGAATCTGAGGTGGACATGACGGATGTTGTCACCTTGATACCTTTGCCGCCTGAAGAGGAGAATGAATTTCTTCTGAGACACTCCAGACGCAAGTGGCGAGCTACTGTGTGTTACCTGCCGCCCACATCAAAGGCAGTGTTGGAGGAACCTGACCTGGTACTAACACGTCCTGGGAGAAAAATACAAAAAAAAATGTCCTCATACTCAGAAGGAGAGTAATGTAGTAATTGTAACAAGGTCGGCCAGGTGGGGCTCATAGAATATGAGTTCCCTGATTGGACCAGATTAATACTCCAATCAGGGAGCTCTGCCTGACAGAATATAAACAGGAGTGTCAGGCATTCTGTTCATTCTGAGGGCTGGCTCTGAAAGAGCTGGATCAATGTCAAAGGACTTTCCATGTGCAAATAAAGGATGATTTGGTGATGGGATAATGATCTCTGTGGAGTTATTCCATCATCCACCTCTGCACTGATGCAATAGATTTTCAAGTGAACCTCCCATCAGCTGAACCTTTCCACCAATAGATGAGTCCAGATTTTATCAAAGACTAAATTGGACTGCAATTTCCAACAACCCTACACAGCCGATTAAATATAGAAATCAGGCACAACCTTCCTGAAATGCCCTGTTTCTTCGGTAACAGCCTCTTGTCTAAAGGCTCAGCATTGAAACACATAGAACAACTTGAAGTGGTGGAGTTGTAGTACTTATTCAATAGATACCCATTAAACATATCAGGAAAATATTAAGACTGGTCTATTCATTTATTGGTGAAATTTTAATAATGTACTAAGTGTTAATTACTGAAAATTACTTCTCTGACACAATGTGGACTTCTACAAATGGGAAGTTTCATTCCTTCAGATATTTTTGTTGTTCAAGATTTTAAAACATTGATAATTTAAATTAAAACATCTTTTCTAGTTCATGTCTGTCCTTCTCTTTATTTTGCTTTCTTCATCCAATAAATATAGAATTAAACATCCTTTATTTTTATTCATTCATGGGATGTGGTCGTTTCTTGCTAGGTCAGCATTTATTGCCCATCCTGAATTGCCTAGAGGGCAGTTAAGAGTCAACCTCAGTGTTGGTGCGGAGTGACATGTAAGCCAGACAAGGAAGGACGACAGTTTTCTTCCCTAAAGGACATTAGTGAACAAGATTTTTTTTTCCTGAAAATTTACAACACTTTCAGGGTCATCATTAGACTCTTAATTCCAGATTCTTATTGAATTCAACTTCCACCATCTGCCACATCAGAATTAGATCCCAGGTCCCCAGACGCTATCTTGGACTCTGATTTAATAGTATACAAATCATACCACTAAACTATCATCTCCCTTTATGCTTACTTACACTGACCGGTTCCGATTTCTCAGATACTGAAGCCGTCAATATCTGAAAACCTAGACACCATTCAGGCTTGGGCTAATAAGTGGCAAATTACATCTGTAGCACAAAGTAGGCAATAACTCTCTCCAAAAAGGGAGAATCTATCAATGTTCCCTTGACATTCAATGGCATTA